AAAATACAGTTGAACCTCGATAACTAGAACCACATCAAGTCGAATTTTTGCTTCCAGCCCCCGTCTAACTTCCGATAGAGACAATTTATTCAAACCTTCCCTGACTCGAAAGCTCTTCCTCGTAAACCTCCGTAAATCGAATTTTCTGAGGTACAGTACTTTTGGCTATTTTATCAACATGGGAAAGAGAAAAAAAGATAGAGAATTAGTTGATGTGCTTGAAAAAAAAAGTGGAAGACTAATTGAGCAAATGAACCCTCGCCTTCAAGTTCAGCATGCTGTAAACTCATTCAAGAAGCAATTCAAGCCCAGAATATCACCATTTACAATTTCACGCAATTCTTCTACGCTTCCCACCACCAAAATGCTTGTTTCCCCAACTCGATTTTTTTTCTAGTCCCATGAAATTCGATTTAGAGAGGTTCGACTTATTTATTGTACACGAATTGATTCAAGTCGAATCAAAGCGCTTCACAATTCAGGTCGCATTTCAATACCTTGGATACTTATAAACGAAGTGGAGAATAAATTCAAGTTGTCATAACATGGCGTCATTGTAGGCGACTTGATGTTGATGTCATGGTAATAAAAGGTTTAACCTTTTTTAGAGGGCGGTAGAAATTTCAAGGTGCGCTACTCTTTCGAACTTACAAAATTTTATGTGTACTGCAGTTGCTTCAGTCTCAAGGACCGAAGCTAATGACCACTTCAAGCCACAATCATAATTTAATGAGAATATCACTCGCACGACAAAGAACAGTACCGTAATTTACTGGAGACCAGGTGACCTCGAGTAAAGTGCGCACGCCATTTTTAGCCACTGAAAGACGGCAATATTTAAAAAAATAATGGACATCAGAATTCGAATCTGGACATGAATTCAACCTGAATTCGATTAATTCTTCAATTGCTTTGATTTTTTAAATTTTTCCGTCAAAATTGTCGAAAATAACCCCTAAATTTGAGTTCAGACAAGAATAGAACCTGAATTCGCCTAATTTTAAATTGTTTCCACATAAATAGGTTTTTTCTTACAAAATTGGTCCAAAATTTTCCATTATAGTCAAGTATGACGTGCAGCCTCCTTTTTCCCCCTTAATTAAAAATGAAGTACATTTGGTACAGCAGTAAATGAGGTCATTATCACGTTTACTAATGATCGTGATATCAAAAGGGATTGCTCTCGCGAAGGAAACTTCGTACCCAAAAAAAAGGAAGGCTAAAAAATTCAATTTTTAAATTAATTTGTGTTCCAGATGAAACATGAATGGACGCAGGAGATGGAATGGATGAGAGATGGACGCGAGGACAAGGGAATTATACGACACATTACTCAAGGACATGCTCACGCGATTTTTTTCTGTCATGCGACACCTGAATTATTGCATAGGGAATTAGGAAAAAAACAACCCTATCATGATTGCAGATTAAAGGCTGGCGCTTGTGTGGATTCTGATTTCTCCTTTTTCTTCCGCAAAACAATGTCAACACAACATTACTAAACCCGATTTCTGCTATCAGATCAAGAATCAAGGTACATCTGTCCTTGACCCGACAGAGACATCTATCGGGTCATCCGGAAAATGGGATCACGTCAACGCGACAAGCAAGGGATCTTCGGTCACCACTCTTCAGGAAATTCCTCGGATAACGCGCAATTTTCCAGTAAGTGATACTTTCCTGAGAAAACCCGGCGCAGAAGAACTTCATACAGTCAAAAGTGAATGATATAAAACGATTAGGCAAGTCTGGGAAGTCCATCATAATGATTTAGCCATCGTCAGACATAAGGACGACACCTACAAATGCAAATGATGAACCATGTTCATTCTGATCGAGTGTTTTCACCGCCTCGGGTAGATGTCATCTGTTGACGCATGTACAGTATTTAAGGATACTGATGCGTTAGCTACCATGTATTTTTCCCACCTGGTGCTCAAATAAAATATAAAATAAAACCGCGTTGTTCGTGGTTTCTTTACTACTAGATTAGTCGTGTCGTTAAACGCTAAAAGAAGATAGCAAAGAAAGACACGGAGAACAGGATACTCTAAAAATACCATATTGCAGAGGAAGTGCGCAGAAATATTTTCGCCAGGTATTTCTTGTTCTGTGTTTCCTGTTTTTAGAGAAGTTTCCTTTTTCTTGATTTTACTGTGAACAAATGTAGTCCCACAAGCAATGCATCAAGGAGCAGAGCTCTAATAAACTTTACTGCTACTAAAAAGGCTGGTAGTTATTTTTGAGCCCATGAAGACCATTTTCCCATGTCAAAGGGGAAATGTCAACTCTTGAGAGGATTCTGGAAATGTTCTGATTTCAAACTCAATCTGTTGCTGTCCTCATCTCAACAATCTACATCTCGGATAAGCCACTGTTACAGTCATCAGCAGCAAAATTTGTGTCCGCGTATGACATTCAATGGAATACGTTCCTGAGTCCCACATGTAATTAATCAAAAAAGATAAAATGGCTCAGTATAAGAGGTCTGCGAAAAATCATTGACCTGAGCATGTCGGAACATGATCAAAATCGCACACGATTTCCTGAAGAGAAAATAAAATCGGGAGCAAGCTCGTCTACCTTCCACAGGAATGGCTGGTGACGCTACATTCCCAGTGAGATGAGAAAATTCAAAAATATGCGAACCCCTCAAAATACTTCGCGTTCGAAGGATCAATCTGAATGGCAAAAAAAAATGTTCGCCATTCCACATCAGATCCGAGGAATAACGACCCAGGCAAACACAATTTCTTCAACCCAGAAAAATAGACTCACTCGAAATCACTTCGGCGTGATGCTGAAAGGATTCATCCACATCCAGATCCTGCGTGGAAGGAATTTCTACATCGGGCATCATCGAGGCCAGCACATCCGACAGATTTTCGTGGGCCCCGCCTGCAAAATAATTTAGTAATGTGTCAAACAAAGCTCCAATCTTGACCACATATAATAATGACGCATCTTTCGACAATTTCAATTTGCCTACGCCAGATGCAACTACATTATTCCGCGAAAATTCTCAAGATGAACACCGTTTATTTGGGAGACGCATGCTGTTCATTTATCAGTCTCCTTCAAAATAATGCAATAAAACAATCCTTAATTTATCTTTTAGAAAATGCTATCAAAATCATATCATGGCGTTACTAACATTAGGATAGGTGCACCATTTCAAAAAAGATATGGAATAAAAGAGGCTGTAAATCATCATACTGAACGTCATCTCTCATAAAAACTTGACCAATACAGTACGAACAGAACATCTACCACGCGGAACTACAAAAAAATGTGTTCGCCTCTTTCCGGGGCTATTTGTCAAAGATTCTCTATTTTCTATGAAACAACCTCAGCAAAAGTACACAAATGAGGAGAAAGTTGCAACCATCCACAAGAATACATAGAGGCGAACACATAAGAGGTAGGTCTTGAATTTTTGTCACGAAATTGTGGGAAATACGTGAATAACTGAAATAGAACAACCGATTACACAATTTGTATGTGTATTAAGTACCACGTGAACATTGAATAAAAGTCAATGGTCTATTTTGGAGCAAAAAAGCCATCTTTCAGAGCTCGTACTACCATACAGGTAATTGATACATTGCGGAATAAATTAACCTTCTAATCCACATCAGCAATTCTCATTCAAATGTACCAAAGTTTTATTATTTTTTAATAGCTACGACGACCATATTCGTTCAATTGAAATCGTTCTGAAGCAATTGACATGAACTTTTACTGCGTGTAAATTTTGCTGCATGACTGTTTCATATTTTAATATTAAATCAAAATTTTCTTGGCCAGCCAATTTACTGTACAAAATTAGAAATAAAAATGCAAGAATTATGCATACAACCAGTGTTGAGATTGTGCAACACAATTGCTTAGAGGCACCGACACTTGAAAACGCAATATTTTCCATCTTTAAAATTACAGTTCAAAGAAGCACTTGTCTGTAAATGTAAGATACCCAGTCAGCAAACTGTATTTCCTTCAAGACAAAGGATTCTTCAATTATTTGGGCTTTGCAACAACAAAAAATGGCAGCAAGTAATTGCACTATAAAATCTCAAGACTCAATCTTGAAAGAGAATGGAGCATTAAAATTATTTTTAGAAGCAATTTACTTACAAATTAAAGACGCCATCAATCTAAAACTCAAGTGATTTTTTTTCAGGAACCCCTTCGCAAAATTTTCATTTGAATGTTGATTAATGTCGCTGTTAAAAACGAGATACAGTACCTCCGTATCAGACACAAAATAAACAAGAAATCAGAATCAGAACTGATTCCATCACAGGGTTTATTACAGTAAATTCAAAGCGAAGGGTCTAAAAATCGTGCAAGAATTCAAGCGATGACTAAGTCATGAAAAAAAAACAAGGTTTTCGCCTATTACCGGACGTACCACAAGATGCCAAGACCACCAGCCCACTCAGGAGAATCCGCAACTTCGCCATCATCGTCTCTCAACCGTTTCAACCGACCAAATCGCTCGAGAACAACCCGCAAACTGACAAACGTCATCGTGTTTTCGTCGGGATTCACAATCGGAGGAGTCTGTCTGCAACGTGGAGGAAAATCCAAAGAGTTCAACGCACTGCAAGGATTTCGGAGAGAAAACCTCGGAGATCGGGCACTAGATACACCCCCGCCGTTTCATCAACTGATCTTTAATCATTCATCCCGAAGGAAAAACAGCGTTCGTCAATCGGACGATGCCTTCCCTCAATCATCACCAACAAAACACCAACGGATGAGAGGAAAAAAATAAGTCGCAAAGAGGGAGAGAGAGCAATGAACTTGTCTCTGTTCCACCCAACAAAAAAAATAATGAAATCGGCGATGGCCGTCAAAATGGATTAGCTAGGAGTAGGCGAACGATACATAAGAATGAACAGCACATCCTACGCACGCAGAGAAGTTCTTAAGCAACACGGTTGCACTACGGTAAGATTATTGAATACAAAAGCGCGACACAGACGTCGAACGAGACATCAAAACGAGAAATGGCTTTCTTGCGTTCCTCCGGTAGTGCTAGAAGGCATGGTCGACGGGTCCAGGTCTACTTCGTCGTCACCGCCGTGGAAGTAATTACTGATTATCCTGTACACGCGCTTGTAAATCTCCTCGTTTTCGTGGCTTTGTAAGTACTCAATTTTCTCCAGACCTGTCCGAAGAAGAAAATATTCCCACGCGATCAAAATCCACTCGGGGAAGAAAAAAACGTGTGTCAATTCCTACTAAAACATATACAGGTGAACCTGGATAACTTGAACCTGCCCAAGTCGAATACCCCCTGATTCGATTTTTTTTTTCAGATCCCTGTCTGAATCCCTCAAGAAACAATGCATTAAAAACCTCTCCAGGTCAAAGGCTTTTCTTTCAAACCTCCATAAGTCGAATTTTCTGTGGCCTGTTGCCTATTATTTTCTTTCCACAAGAAAGAAAAAAGCAATAAAAACAGAAATTGATGTGTTTTCAAAGGAAGTGAAAGACTTTCTTAGGCAAATGAACCCCTGCCTACAAGTTCAGCATCCTTTCAACCCATTCAAGAAGCAATTTAAGCCCGAGAATACCACCATTTACAATTTTGGGAAATTGTTCCATGTTTCCCAGAACAAAAGAGCTTTGTATTGTAGCTCAAACCTCTATAATTTAAAACCTCTATGATTTAAAGCCTCCCAAAGTATAATTTTTTGCTGGTCCCTTGAAATTCAACTTATAGAGGTTCAACTGTTCTAGAAGTACTACTGCATCATACAAGTACTTACCTTTTGCATTCTTGTTAATGGCTTTCACAAAAGCATTTAAACCTATAAATAGACCTTTAAAACAAATAGAATAATCAAAAACTCAACTTTTGAAATAAAACAAAAAACAATGACACGTGAACAATAGAACAATGCTGCCACAGAATTTAGGTGCAATGAAACTGATTTTATGATCAGAAAAACGTCATTAGTCCATCTCAGTTGAATCCTAATGATTCTTCATATTCAATAATTTCATAAACTTCTTCAAAATAAGCTCCACAACTATGCACAAAAATTTAAAACCGCATATATGCTTCAGGTGACTTCTAAAAATTAGTTTCTCTAATGGTCATAGTCGCTGTTACGTTTCCTTGGAGGTCAATACTGTGCGTCATGAACTCAGATTCCATTTGAAGAAAATAATTCGAATTTAGTCCATAAATTGACATAAAGCTTTTCAACACATTGTCGCACATTTTAGTCAACCATTTACACCAGTGTTCCCCAACATTTTTGGGGCCCGCGGACGGCAAATTTTCATAGATATTTTTTGCGGACAGCACATTTCCAAAACATCTTCTGAGGTCCAGGAAAGGTTCAAAAAATGTTGCAGAATAAAAAAAACTTTGCTTGAAACACCTTATGGCAAGTATGAAAAAGTTTCTGCTTTTTTGCAAATCTCAATTCAAGAACCTATGAAGCAGCTATAGTACAATGTCTTCAAAAAATTAAAGAGGTGGGCTTGGAGAAAGGAATCTCAGGATGAAAAATTAAAATAATGTATTTCAGCAGCTGAAAATTTGTCTGAAGTGTTATTTAAAGAAAAGCCAACGTCCATTTTCTTCAGATAATTTCAACTGCCCTTCTCTTTCCGAAATTTCTGATGAAGTTTACAGACTCCATGGCTACTTTTGACTTATTATGCTAACGAAATTTAATCCCGTGGACTACAGGTTGGGGAACACTGATTTTACACAATATCTTCTGACGAGAACAGGAAAGCGTTGAACTCTTATTTGCAGAGACAAAAAAATGTGCATATCATAACCTAAAAGCCTCATTCGCGCAAAAATGGAATGAGTAATCCTCGGGCATCTCATCAGCAACACAATAATTTGCACGCAAAAATCGTCTCAGCATCCATCAAGAATAAAAAAAAGGGATCCGTTCGCATACCATAGCACTCTTCAATCAGCCCAGTGAAGGGATTTCCGTGGTAATCTGCTCGCGTTGCGTCGCGTTCGCCGATTTTGAGAATATTCTCCAATCCGTGCAAAGCTACTTCGACGATTTTGGCGTCATTAACCGCTAGCAAATCGCACATAGGCGGTACGCATCCCTGGAAAATCAGACCAAGCTTTTCTTCAGCCCCCAGATATTCAAAGTTTAAAATGTTCACAGGGATCCATCTCACCATCTCGACTAGGTAAATAATTTGTTCCGGAGTTCCTCCGGAAGTCGCATTTGTAATAGCCCATATCGCTTCTTTTTTGGTGCGGAAATCACCGCTTGATAAAATTTCAATTAGCACTGGGAAAACACTGGCGTCTATCACACTCTGCGGAATGCAATGGCAAGTATTCAAGAGATGCAAACGAGGCAAACAAGGCTCTTCGAGGAAAGAGTTTTACCTGAATTTGCTCCCTATTTCCTGCAGTAATATTAGAAATCGTCCAGCATGCTTCCTTGCGCGTGCTATCTTTCGTAGCATTGATCAGCAACTGGTTAATATGAGGCAGCAAAGGTGTTAAGTTTTGATAGACCCAAACGTGCAGCAGCGGTCAGTGCTACAAAGGGTCCGAAGAATTTCGTCGACTGTGGTGCAAGCCGCTTAGCACGGACATGTGCTTTTGTGTTCGTCTACTTGGAATCTGGTCAAGAGGGCCACAGCAATTTCGACATACATTAGAAGGTCGACGAGTCGGCGACAAACCCCAGCATCAATAACAGCTTGGATTTTCTCGTTCGGCCCGTCGCAAAGGTAGGACAAGGCCCAGCATACATCCGCTAAGGTTTCCCGGTCTGGACTGAACAGCAGCCGAGCCAAAATCGGCAAACACTGAGCGACTTTATCAAAAGGTGCAGGTGGTGATTTTCCTCGGCAAAGATTTGAAATTGCCCACACAGCGTTTCTCGTCATCGACAGTCGCAAGTCACTAATATTTAACAAGCTGAAAGAAACCAGGCGGCTATAAGTTTCATTTTCTTTCCGGTAAAAGCAACACAATTTTGAAAAAGTAAAATAAAAATCGCCTCTCGAAAAGAAAAAGTCTTCCCAATTAACGTGTCCACACAGCCTTTCCTTTACCCCATCGGTCAAAAGTCGCATTGAAAACACAAACAGAATAGACTTGTAACTTTTTGGCTAAAGAACTACAGTACAATATTTCTTGAAGAATGACATAGGCTGACACATGGTCATTAAAGAAACATCCAGTCATTCGGGATAAATTAATTGCACGATGAGTGAACGTTTTGTTTGCAATTTCTAAAAAACTGATTCTGTCAGTCATTTTCAACAAGAGTTAGTAGTTTGATATTGAAAATGCTCTGAAAATTAAGAATCGGAAATTCACTCTAACTGTCAGGTAAGGGTAGATTTGATTAGGTCAACGCTCATCAACTTGAAATCAACTAGAAAAAGATGCGATAGTAAATTTTAAACGATCAATGCATGTTTACATTATCGAGATTCTGCAGTGGAAAAAAATATAAATCGTCTTTTACATTTTATGAAGCAATTTGAGAAAGTGTTGAAAATTGACATGCGGGGCCTTGGAAATATACTTGATACAGTCAAGCCTCTTCAACTCGAAATCCATAAGTCAAAAATCTCTCTAATTCGATATTTTTTCTGGTACCTTCAAAATAATGTAACCTGAACCTCCGTAACTTTAAATGTTTCAACTGTGAACCTCCCCAACTCAAAATTCTCGAAGACACGGACGGACACGAAGTTCAAATGGTAATGATTTTGGAAAGAAAAATGAGCAACTTTTAAACAGGTCCATAAAATCTTGGCTTGAGGTTCTACATCGTTTGGACTCATTCATACTGCAGATCTCGGTGGTTAGACTTTTTCGTACAGTGGGAATAATCACGGAAATGCTTTTGGACACACCAGGCACAGTCGCAGCAAACAATTTCAGTCCCAAATTACTCCTTTTAAAATGTACAGCAAGCATTCTTAGACCTAGTTTCCCTAACCTCCGTAACTCGAAACCTCTCCAATTCAAAATGGTTTGTTTGCCATTTCAAATTCGAGAGGTACGAGTGTAGTTAAATGTATTGTGCATTGATTTTAGAACAGTTTCTGAAGTTTTCCACTCCTTTCACGATTTCTCTGTCTACACTGGAGATACACATCTGACTAGCTGCAAGGAAATGCGAGTTCCGGTTATCTTCCAATGCATACGCTTCCCGCGCGGCAATTCAAACAAATGTATGATTTGATATCCACTTCTTTTTAGATCAGCCTACTAGTGCGCTACACCCTTCTTTTATGACTAAACTAAGAAGTCGGTAGCGGCTGCTGGAATTTGAACTTTATGGACTCTTCTCTCCCGTATCGAGGAACCAGTTCTCGCAAGTCTCTACATTCTGCAGAATCACCAGCTATGTTCCCAAGAGCCCAAATCGCCTGTTCCTGTACCTCCGGGTGCGGTGAAAAGTTCAAATGACGAATAAAAAACGGCACAGCTCCTGATTCGACCACAACTCGGGTTTGTTGCGAATTGCCCGACGCAATATTTGTCAGTGACCATGAAGCTTCAAACTGAAATGAAATGCCAAGATCGTATAGTAATAATATCTCGATTAGTACTGTTTCTCCGCTGACCGCGTTATGTACTCACTCCGAAGAAGCAAAGTAAAAACGTCCTTAAACTTTTTATTCCAACTTGTTATTAGGTGAAGTCTTAAGGCCTGTCCTTACGGGCCATGGTACTGTATGTTCTTCGTTCTTCGGACTAAATTTCAAGCCGTGTAAATCAATATACTGAAATTGAGTTTTTTTTATTAAACGGTACTCACTGCATTCTAATGAAATGATAATGCGGCGTTTTAAATAAATAATAATTAAATGCTCAAGTGATGCATTATTCAGGAAGACTGAACATTATTTTTCGCGAAGTCATCATTCGGCAAGTTCCTATTGCTTTCATTTGCAGTTTTTATTCTGTTGTTGCACGATTTTTCTGTTTGTTCGAGCGAAAAGCACGCGTCAGCAAAACTACTGTATGTTCCTACTACATATGACTCCAAGATGCGTATGACCTTTTTTTTTAAATTGATATGGGAACTTTAACAAGATAGTATGCATACGAAAGTTAGAACAGAACTGCTCACAAGGCATTTAGATATGACGGGGTTCAACTAAGTCCAGAAACCTCAGGACAAATGAAATCAACACAAGAGAGCCAAACCAGATCAGAACTGAGAACTCGGAAGACTTAAAATCACCTGTAATGTTTCGCAGTCATCTCTACCGAGAAATTCGACGAGTTTCCCGACGGCTCCAGCTTGCACCACTTCGTTAATAGGCGGATTCGGCTCCAGACTAAGAAGTTTTCTCAACTTCCGCGTCCCTTCGATCTGCGTTTGGACGTCGTCGGAGTTCAAAGCAGGCAGGATTTCCGACACAATCTTGTTCTCAAGCTGCCCCGGAGATACAGAAATACCTTCCTAAGAAAGGCCCAGTTCGAAAAAAGGGGGGAAACAGAACAGATCGCAAGAAACGAGAGAAAAAGACGACAAGATGGAAGGAGACTAGGGTTCATCACCAGGGAAGCTAAATATTCTTTTTCTTTCATCGGGATCAACGGTTTACCGTCACTGAAGTGTCTTCTTCTTGATCTGTGTTGACATTTCGCTTCTTGGCCAACTGCTCTTCCCGTTTCTGTTTCCGCAACTGGACACCTTCTTCTTCTCGACGACGACGCAGCTCTTCCGGCTTGAGAGCAGAGTTCTTGTAGCGAAGCTTCCGCGAACCATCGCCGGACATAATTTAAGTACCGAGTCTGAATTCACCGAAACCTACAGAGGAACCACAACAAATTGGTGAATTCAACAGAAAGCGCGTCTTCAATAACTAGAAAAACATGGAAGACCATCCTTCGCTCGACAAGAGCACGAGGATCACCAAGTCTCACACTCTTCCAGGCCAAAAACCAAACAAAACAGGATACCATTGAGCCGAAGAGAAAAATAAATAAAAATAAAATAGCGGTCTCGACTCGTTTTCGAAACCTTCAGATATTCGACATTATCCATCAGTCTAATCCATATTTTAAAAAACCAAATTTTGATGAGGTTTCCAACCAAATCACGCGTTACAAAAGGTTTAGTCCCAATGCTTGTCATGAACGACACTGATGGAATAAAAAGAAGGTCCGCCGACGTCTATTGCAATACACGAGAGAACAATGCATCGTACGGAAGTCATTCATTCCTCCCGAAGTCCCTTCACAGATTTTCTTTTAATTCGAAAAAAATAAAACTCCGTTCACAATGAATCAATCACATGGCTTTCACCCTACATCTAGCTGACGGAAAAAATTCGTATACTTTATCTTCCTGATCACGAACACGCCGAAGATGTACAAAAATACATCCAACACGCAAATCAATCTTCCCGCGCTTTTGCCGCCGGCAACGTGATGAATTCATCACGATAGGTAACTAAAACCACTGACCAAAAACCGAGACAACCTTTAAAAGATCATCGGGCAATAGGACGTGTGACCGTCTCGCCAAGCTGAGTCATGTCTCAGAGCCGCGCGACACATCGGACAATTATTTTCTCTATCCATCCAAAGCTCGATGCAATCATCGCAAAATACGTGACCGCATTCCATTTTCGCGGGTCGCTGGAAGCTATCGTGGCATATGGGACACATGTGATTAGCTTCTTCCAAATCTTGCGCCGTCGGTGCTGCTCCTTGGGCCTGAAACGTCGGAAAAATTAGATATTAATCAAGTAATTTCTTATCCAGATGATGCAACGAAATGCCATAATCATCCTCGAACATCAGTAGGAAAACAGGTGAACCGCAGTTCAAAACTAGTCACTTATATTATTCCGATGATGACATACTTCGCGGTATCAGTCGGTTGCTAATGGCTTCCCATTCAGGAATGGCAGTAAATTTCTAGCACGAAAATACGATCTCGTGAAAATCTAGTCCAAGAAAAATTAGCGAGTAGCCATAATAAGCCACCACAAAAATCGACCATAATTTCGCCAGCAAACGTCAGTAATCAAATGTATTCAATTCGCGTATACAAAAATGGAAGCCCACAATATACGAGAAAATCTGCTTGAAAGTAATTAATATTACTGTACAACTATTCTTCATACGATAGATCAGAAATTTAGATTCAATCCTGGACAGTTTTTCAGAAAAAACTTGAAGCTATTGCCTGAACTGCTTTTTCGTTAGAGGTTAAATTCAAATGTTCTGCACTCCTATCGAATTCTCTTATTAAAAATACTTTAGTTGCATTCGCGCAGTTACCAAAGAATGGAACATTTAACACGACAACATAGCGAAAAATACCGAAATAGGCCCTATTTCTGGTCAGACATCCTACATTGAAGATCTCTGAATTACTTCGTACAATAACAAATGTTGGATGAATTTTTATCGGAACAAGACGCCAGCAATCAAATGCATTCAAGTCGCGTAAACGAAAAACGGAAGAGTACCAAATACGAGAAAATTTGCTCGAACGTAAGGATTCGAAGAAAACTGAACGAAAATTCAGTACTGTATACGCACCCGATAAAGGAAGACAATAAGACCCTGTCGTAATTCCTTCACGCGTTTATAAACAAAGTTGAGTTTGTAAATCGCGTACAGAAACGCAAGAAAGCCATCGAAGCATAGCCAGCTCATCGATACGCATCCGCCTCCAAGGAAGTAGAACCACACGGATGACGGTATCATAGCCCTGTAGGTTTGTGAAGCCATTTCCGTAAGAAAGAAAAGCTTGCCCTGTTGAAAGGAAACGATTGCAGTACGTTACACATTTTCAATGTGGAGTATTACAAAATACTCACTCGTTTCTTATTCGGAACTACCGACATCGGTGAGGCAACGATGGCAATCTTCAAAAGCGTCGTTAATAATCGAATGGTATGGTCACAAATTAGCAGAATCCACAGGATATCAAACAAGCTTTGTTTCGAGACATTTTCACACGTCGGAATCAAAAGCAAACTGCAAAAACAAACATGTTATTCTTTTCTTTATCCGGCGATCTGATCCAATCCTCGGTTTACTTACTATGGATACACTTTCTCAGTCAGAACAAAATGCGTGAAGACGATCGCAGTCCAGGCATTCATTGCGGCGATCCCGAGACTCGATAAACTTCGTTTAGTGTGTCGAGCAAACTCACGTATGACCACACGATTTGCATGCGTACATATTATCGTGAATCCTAAGAACGCAAGAATGCCTGCAGCACACAAAAGTTAGCTCAGAATTAGGCAGAACTCTGAAGACATGAAATACTCACCAATACTGTAAGTGTAAAGCACTTTCATCAGCAAAACGAAGATAATTTGAGAAATTTGTGCAAAGAACGCCAGGAATTCATTCTGGGGCTGCTCTTGAGATGCGCCCCGGCGCGACGCTAGTTCGTTTCCAGAACCAGATCCGTTCGAGGCATCGGCGATCAGAGGCATTTCCACTGACGCATCCCCACTTTGCGTACTGGAGTTGACAACGGGAGGAGGAACTCGCGAAACATCAGGGGCAGTTTGGGATGCGAAAGTTCGCCGGAGAACTCCAGTTTCAATAACCACGGAAGGAGTCACATCGGACGCTTGAATATGCGGTGTGAGCGAATGAGTTTCCACATCTTCGGCGGCACCAGAATCGCTCGATGCTCCACTGCTGAAGGGGAAGCTACGTCGCTCCAATTGGTGATGTAGGCCGTTTAGTACTTGGTGAATACCCGCTCCAAATCGACTGAATGAGTCCCGCGCGATGGAAACTTGATCCTGGATGCCTTCCGACACGCCTGACGGCAGGCGACTCACCATACCGTCAACGCCATTCACAACAGCTCCAGAGAGCGAAATCAAGCTTCCTGATTGATCACTAGTGCTGCTACTTCTTTCTGCCATTTCTTATAAATTCTCAGAACTCTAAAAATGACGCAGGGAAAAGAATTAATTTGCACTAGAACACGTTTCCCGCAATTACGCATTACATCACCCTCAACACAGCTTCTCGATCACAGACACCACTTGTTGATCGGGATACAACACAGCCTTCGGTTATCCTGGAAACACAGCATTGATGAATACCCAGTAAAGCCCCGAAAAGACTGCACCCAGCATTAACATGCACACAGAAATGGCTCTGGGTTCCGAAGGTGGACCATAGACGACAAATCGATTCTAAATTATCCGGTGATCTTAAGAGCCGTTTTCTTGAGCGCCGCTGGCTTGCCAGTCTATCCTCTCCCAACGCCACTACCTTGTTCAACGCCAGTGATGAGTGACTTCAAATACAGTGAGACCCCAATATGCGGACATCCCAATACAGACAATTTGACTTAGGGACACTTGAATACCAAAAAATCAGGCCTCAAATCTGGAAATTGGCTCAAGTTAAGGACACTTTCCTTAAATTTTCCCAAAAATCTAAGCATTTTGTTTTTTTATTTTGATATCTTTTTAAATAAACCAAGCTATTTATATTCACAAAAAGTTGACAAAAATTTAAAGGTTAATTCACTCTAATTCATAATCAAAAGCAAAATGATTTTGTGCTTATTTTTTCAGAGTTTTTCATCATGTGTGCATATTCTAGCAAGACAGCTTACTATTTTTCTTTGCTCTTTATTGATCATCTTCTTTTGATACCAGCAAAAGATCTGATTCTATGTGCTTTATCTGTTCTGCACTTGAAGTTGAGGGAAAATTTTTTATCACAATTTTGAGGACTCATTGACAAAAACCAGAACTAATTAAATGCATTAGCAATTTAGCATTGAAGTTTAAGGAAAAATGACACTCAACTCGGGACATTCCAACATCAGGACACTCTTGATGCACCAAGTACAGTTGAACCCCATTAAACCGCCGCCCAATTGACCGCCACCCTCGCTTCCCACCATTTTTTCCTCCCAAACAAATCTTCTCAAGCTTGAAGGGATGGGAAAACCCTGTTTATCCGCCATCCGCCAACCGCCAATGTTTTTTGCAGAACAAACAGGATCTTAGCATTGTTTTTTACCCCGTTAAACTGCCAAATTTTGGCTCCTCTATTCAAAGCTTTATATTTCTGGTAATATTTTTTAAAATTATTTGTTTTCTCAATTTAAAGATGAAAATAATGAGAGATTTATGTCCCCACAAAAAAACAGAATGAAGAGTCATCATCACCAAAAGCAGGATGGGGAGGGTTAGAGGTTGAAACATTTTTTCAAGAGATCAAATACACTTATNACAGAATGAAGAGTCATCATCACCAAAAGCAGGATGGGGAGGGTTAGAGGTTGAAACATTTTTTCAAGAGATCAAATACACTTATTCAATAAATACTGTGGCAACCCCTCCCTCGTTAAACCGCCAACCCCGTTAAACCACCAAAATTCTGCTGCACAAACGTAGGCGGTTTAAGGGGGTTTGACTGTATGTCCACATCTTGAGGTTGCACTGGTATTTTCAGTACATATAGTAAGGCATTACGATGACTTACAAGAAGCGACATCTAGTTACGTTATGTTTTACCAGTCACTCTTCCCAACTGCTTAGTTACACCTATCTCTAGATCAGCAGCACGATGGAGAGGAGCGACTGAGAGCAGCACAAGGAATTCATTCAGTTCTGAGACCTCAACTTGTACAGTCCTTCTGACCTTTTACTCTTGACTCAGTGTTGTGTTGTGACATCATTGAAATAAACTTGTACCTCAAGCAGTGATCAAAGATTTATTCCCCAAAACCCTTACTGGGGGCTCGTCTGTTAACTTGGACCTGTGATCGATCACATGCTGTACCCAATGTTCACCATTATGAAACGCATCACCAACAATTCTAAAGCCGCGGCGGAAGCCGCAATGGGAGATGCCAAAGAATTCCATTCCGATTCCGAATCCGAGATGGGCAAAAATGGTGCTGCGTCCAAACGACCCGGCAGCAAAGCCTCCGACGCATCCAGTGTCTGGGAAAGTCTTCCAATATCCACGCTACAGCTCCTTGTCGATACCTATTGCCTGGGCAGACCAACCCGCAACTCCAAAGCGGAATACGCAGCACAGCTGGACAGATTCCAAATTCCTGTCACAGCCTTACAAGCCCTGCCACGTCCTCCTGGCATAGCACCTTCTTGTGAGCTGGCAACGATCATCGAAGACCCACAGCAGATCCCCATCCTCCCGCCAAAGTGGTTTGCCAACCTGCACAGCCCAGACCTGCCAAAGCAGAACAAGAATGAGGCCTTTGAAGACTACGTCATCTGACTTTGCAACCTCCCGGCAGTCGACAACATCACCAAGGTACACCTGATCCGTTGCTTGCTGCAGAACACCTTGCCACACATCCAGAGCATGGCGAATTGGCACCACAAGAGGGGAACCACTGATTTCAACCAACTCGTTGAGGTGATCACCCGAAGACATCCCACGCCCCATTTGGATCATCTCAAAACCTTTTGCTGCATGAAGCCGGAGTCCGAAGAAAGCTACTTCAGTTTTGCTGAACACATGCGGGACCAGTACAAAGCGTTCCTCCGCTTCCCTCCAAACCTGCTCGAAATGGGAGAGCCTTTCCTGCAGCAAATCTTCATGGAGCAGCTGTTCTTCATCTCAGACGGCAGCCTGAAGGACGAACTACAAAAGAAGTGGCTCCGGCAACCAACGATGACCTGGGACAACATGATCGAGATCGCCGAATCGTATCGACTCAACCACCTCGTCCGACACTCATCATTGTCAGGTACCGTGAGAAACAACTTCAAACACCAATCATTGCTACCACCTTGCCAATGGTGCCAGCATCACGGTCGTTACATGCGACACGGCAGCCACAAGTGCCAATTACGTCCTAGTTTGAATACTACGTCGCAAAACGAAACCCCACAATCAAATTCTGCGGCTCCCCAGACAAATACGAATACTATGCGTTCAAATAATGATTCGGGTGCTTCTCTTTGTTTTCATTGCCAGAAACCTGGCCATTACTTAAAAGAATGTATGCAGATACAGGGAAACGCCAAAACTGGACAGTGAATGTGGCGCACTGTGCTTCCTTGGAACTCTCAGCCACACCTCCTCCTATCTTGCTCCAGCTCAGCATTTCAGGTCAGAATTTCTCCTTGCTCCTAGATACCGGAGCCTCACATTCATTTATCTCAGCAGACCTTGTGAGTTCACTTAAACTGCAGACTGATTCTTCCGAAATTGCGGTACAGACCGCCCTCGGCAATAATGCTCTTCAAACAAATTGCTTGGTCCAGTTAGATTTCATGTTTCACAGATTTAAGATGCGCGCTCCTTTTATCGTACTACCCAAGCTCTCCAAATTCCCTTTAATTTTGGGGCAAATGACGCTTGCGCTCTTACCTCTTGCGGTTAACCTAGATGGTCAACAAATTTTTACCGGGTTTCAGGAAATTACTGCAGTTCCGGCACAACCGACGATGCCCGCAGGGCAAGGCATAAATTTTGTTGACGGTACCGCGGACAAACAAAGTCAAATTGAACGTATTCTAATGCAGTACGAATCAGTTGTGTATCAATGGTCCGGTCACAGAGGCCTATTCGTGGAACATGTGGCGCAATTACCAACGATAGACGCAGCCACACTATAAATGCTGTAAAAACGGCGCGCCCCCTTTATACAGCTGTAAAAACGGCGCGCCCCCTTTATACAGCTGTATAAATGGCGTGTGGTGTTTATTTTTCACCCGTTTTTCAAAAAATGGGTGATTCACCCGTATATGACGGCTGAATCTCTCTTAGCCTTAACAAAGCAGGCGTTTGGAGAAAACGGGTCACCCATACAAACACCCATCTGCTGAAACGGGTGGTTCTACGGGTGATCACCCATTTTTTTTCAACCCAGTACCCGTTTCCCAAAACGGGTGGCAGCTACCCGCGTGTGACGGGTCTTTGACGGGTGGAAATACGGGTAAATTATTTGCTGGGGTGGAGGATTACACGGCGGTGAACAAAATACTAATCGCAGATCATTATCCAATGCCAGTAATTCAGGAATTGTTAGACGCGCTCGGCAGAAATAACCAGTACTTCTGTACAATAGACCTTCATTCTGCATTTCATCATGTCCCGTTAGCACACGAGGACAGACCTAAAATGGCATTCACCACCCCGCGGGGACAGGTCCAGTACAAAGTTCTACCCTTCGGTTTAAAAACGGGACCCGCGATTTTTCAGAGAACGATTAATACAATCTTGCGGAAGCATTTGAACTGGCGCTGTCTAGCAAATATGGACGATATCATTGTCTTTGGCAAGAATTTTGGGACGCTATGCAAAAACCTTGCGGAAATCCTCAAAACCCTGCACAAAGCGTGAGCAGCAATCAACATCAAAAATTCAAAATTCCTAGCTAAGAAACTTGTTTTTCTGGGGCATGAAATTGACCAAACCGGAACGCGACCGGCAGAAAAGAATGTTACCGCAGTGCGCAACTTCCCGCGCCCGGAAACTACGTGACAAATGTTACGTTTTTTAGGTATGGCAACTTATTTGCGCGCGCACCTGCCAACCAATTTTGCCAACGCGGAAAAACTACTTCGTGGTACAATTCCAAAGAAACCAGCGGTGAAACTAGATTGGAAACCGGATTCTCTTCAAGCATTCAATAATCTTAAAGAAGTTCTCGCAGATACAGCAAAATTAGAACGAGTGGACCCAAAACTTCCAATTGCCGTGCATTGTGACGCGTCGTCTACAAGCCTAGGGGTGGTATTGGTTCAAACCAACGAAACCGGATCAGAGCGAGTGGTGCAATACGCAAGCCGGGTATTAACCGGAGTTGAAACACGCTATACAAATACCAAAAGGGAGTTACTTGCGGTGGTATGGAGTGTGACAAAGAAATTTCGTCACCATCTGGAGCATTGCAAGTTTATGGTTAATACAGACCATAAAGCACTCCTCGGGGAGCTGAAAACGGAACGGTTGATTAGTATGCTCATGAAGTTAGCTAGTTTTGATATGCAATTAGTTTACAGACCGGGTAGCATGCTCCAGGGCCCCGACGCTCTTAGTCAAATTTTGCTGAACGCAGCAGACACGCGTATGATACCGCC